TTTTTTTTTGTTTTTTGCTTACTACAAATGTTATGCACTTGGCAATGGTGTTATCGGCCTCGGACGAGAAGGTTGCGCTTGTGGCTATAGAATCATGTGCATCCCAAACCACGTAAGTGTTCTTTTTTCCTTCGCCTTTGAGGTAGATGAACGGCTTCTCCATCGGAATTCTAACTTGTTCTCTACACAAAAATTAAAAAAAAAAAAATGTAAAATACATTTTGCAAATGATCATACAGAACAAGTTGATGAGATAAAACAAAACCACTTAACAAATTAATGATTTAAAAAAAAAATTAAGGGTACGTATAGTTTGTTTGTTCGACCTATAGAGGCCTTGCTTGATGTGCACGCAAGTCCACTTTGTGTTGTGGGATGGTACGGCATTAATGGCAGCTTGGATGGTCGTGAAATTTCCCCGACCCGACGGATCAACCAAGATGTAATTGCCCGACGATGATGATGAAAACGATAGCAACAAAGCAACAAATATTATTAATAATAATAATATATGACGACGACGACGATGATGAGGAGAACACATGCTTTCAACTACAACTACAACTACGAAACGAACAAATTAACACAAATAGATATATATAAATAGAAGAACAAGACTCAGAAAATATTTAATTCTTCGAAATTGCTAATAAAATTAATTCTGGTCGCTTGAGGCATTAAATGAATTTGACAGGAACTAAAGAAAATGCTTAGGGATTAGTACTTAGCAGTAGTAATTAAGTCTGTGGGAATTCTTGAATATAGAGTATGGGATCAAATAATAATATTCTGATGATTTTAATTAACATATGGGTTTCATTTATGCAAAGATATTATGATAAAAGTTGGAAAGTGGAAAAGAAAAGTTGGATTAAAAATCTTATCCCAATAATGTGAATTAATTGGCCCTAATAATTATAAGAGGGAACTTGGAAAGTCGAATAATAATGGGTGGAAATCTCATATATACTGCCTGATTTTATGTATCTTTGTTCATTATTAAATATAAATGATTAACATATTTACTCTTTTTTTTTCTACTACTTTATTTATGGAATTAAAAAAAAAAATAATAGTTTGCATATTTCCAAATAATGATGACTGTGTAATTATAGAAACGATCGATTCTAAAGATCGTGTGGTATGATTTCAGCTGCATTTTGTGTTACATTATTTGTAATTTTAAATATTGTTGTTATTCATTCATATAATACTTGAAATTTAAAATAAAGTGAATAATCAAACTATAAGAGATTTATGAAATAATCAAAATATAGAAAGAAATAGATTAATTCTTGTTAAAAATGAAATATAAATATAAATTTAGAGGGTAACATTAAGCAAAATACGAATTGTTTAATTTTTTTTAAAGGATGTGCAAAACAACATGACTTCAACTTATCTCATCCATTATTTTTTCTAGTGTGGAATAAATGAGAGCGTTATATTTAGCCACAAAGATACTTTTAATAAAAACTAAAGCAGAAAGAAAAAGATAAAATAAGCAAAGGACAATAAATTCAGCAGCAGGCACATGCATAATTCACGAATTTGGAAGGCGGTATGTACGCAAAGGTAATAACAGAAAAGAGGACAAAGAGATGGGCAAAAGCCCCAATTTCTTAATTTCGGGTACTGTCATTTTTAGAGCATATTGTGGAAATTAATGGGGTGTTTGCCATGATCAGTTATTATAGTTTTTCTTTAAATATTCTCTCATATATAAAAAGGGTTTTGCACCTATTCCATGCATGCCCAACACATGGTTACTGCCTCTACCATTATTCCCATTGATGTGCTTTTGCACGCTGGACCGATTCTCCTTGAACCCAACCGCTTGAGCCCTCCAAGACCTGCAAAGACGCCGGGAAGGGTTCCCGGCGGTAAACCTCCGACGCTCAAGTTAGTAGGGTATTCAAGAAGGATCAGTATGTATATTAGGGTTTTTTGGAGGTAAAGAGACTTAGCCCCCATCATACCTGCGTTACCTATTTATATGCAAGTCCTTCGCTTCCTCTCCACGCTTGCTTCTTCATCCACAAATGTGATAACTGCTAAGCCCAGTTCAGTGCTAGCCCACCTCCTCAATCTACCCGGCCCATTCATCTGGCCGATTTGTTTTTGGGCCGAGCCCGCACATTTAACAGACTATTATGTCTAGCAGACCCACAATCCTGCAAACATACTCCTGGCTAATAAACCGAATTGATTCCTGCCGGTCTACCCTGCCGGTTTACCCAAAGTACTCTATTGTGCTATATCATCTAGCCCCCCCATTATCAAACAAGCTATTTGCATAGATAGACTTGTTCGATAATTATTATTCTCATATGCGTGCCCAAACAATACATTTACGTAGCGGTACCGAATTATCGAATCCGACGTTAACCCATCATTATACAACACTACTCTAGCAGATGAATCAAGTCTTTAGCCGTGCAACTCATTGATCCAAGATTCGATGAGCAAGTTACTTAAATACTTAATTACCACAAAACCCCTGCTGAGCCATGCCACGCAGATAAATGTCGCGCAAAAGAGCGCCGCGCCGGTGCTTAAGACACCCTACCGCCGACTCACTTACACAATCTGGGCAGATGAGCACGCCGCCCAAAGGAGTGCCGCGCAGAAGAACACCACGCAAAAGAAATGGCGCGCAGATGTTCAAGATACCCTACCGCACGACTCCCTTACCACAAAAGTGGAAGAATGTCGCGCAGGTGCATGCCGCGCAGATGAATGTCGCGCAGATGAATGCCGCGCAGACGAATGTCGCGCAGATGCACGGGACACCCCACCACATGACGCACTTACTTCAAAGGCGGAAGAATGTCGCGCAGATGAATGTCGCACAGATGAGTGCCGCGCAGAAGAACACCACGCAAAAGAAATGGCGCGCAGATGTTCAAGATACCCTACCACACGACTCCCTTCTTACAAAATCCAGCAGATGAGCACGTCGTCCAAAGGAGTGCCGCGCGGAAGAATACCGCGCAAAAAAAATGCCGCGCCAATGTTCAAGCTACCCTATCACATGATTCCCTTACCACAAAAGTGGAAGAATGTCGCGCAGGTGCATGCCGCGCAGATGCACGGGACACCCTACCACATGACGCACCTACCTCAAAGGCGGAAGAATGCCGCGCA